TCCTTTCCTGTTTACAATATCATTCTGATTTATTTAGAAGATTTATTTCTGACTGAGTTCAAACAGGTTTCCTGCACCTGTCAGTCAAACCGATAGCCCCGCCCCGCTCGCACGTCATTGGCTGAGGCTTCAGTCAAGGTTCTGAGGTTAATGTGCTGTTAACGATGGGCGTCTTCCTCCCTCACGAATGTCGACGGATGGGCTCTTTCCTCTTTTCCATTCCCAGCCCCTGTTATCCCGTGCTGTCAGGAATGCAGGAAATGATGTCAGAGCACTTCCTGTCTGAATAAACCCAGGCGCTCATTGAGCTTCACAGAAACTCTGCTTTATTCTTAAAGATGATTATTTCACTCACTGTTCTGCCGTTTAAGCTCAAGCTTAAGTCTGTTTATCAGCTTTATTTCTACAGCACTTTATACAGTACACATTGTTTTTAAAGAGTTTTCACAGTGATAAACAGGAAAATTACCATGTTACGATGAAACAAGACTTAATATCTTTACTCATTTTGCTTCTTCTCCAGTAAATGTATCTTGATTTACGAATGTTTAGATATTTGAGCTTGAAAACAAGACAGAAACACAGAGGAAGAGCCTCAGTTAGTGCAGTGTCATTATTCAGCTCAATTCAGTTCAGTGACTGTGTTGATGTTGCACAATTCATCAACTATGAGACAAATTCAGATTCTACTGTTTAGCAGCTCTAAAAGCTAACAGAGTCAATATTCAGATCAATTCATTTCAATGTTGATTCAGTTCAAATCCATGTTTATTGAATTAAATTCAGTGTTGATTAAATTCAGTTCTATGTTGATGCAATTCAGTTCTGTGTTCATTCAATTCAGTTCTGTGTTCATTCAATTCAGTTCTGTGTTCATTCAATTCAGTTCAGTGTTGATTCGGTTCAGTGTTCATTCAATTCAGTTCTGTGTTGATTCAATTCAGTTCCATGTTGATTCAGTTCAGTTCAATGTTGATTCAGTTCAGTTCTGTGTTGATTCAGTTCAGTTTCATGTTGTTTGAGTTAAGTTCAATGTTGATTAAATTAAGTTCAAGATTGATTCAATTAAATTCAGTGTTGATTGAGTTCAGTTCAATGTTGATTCAATTCAGTTTAGTTTTGATTGAGTTCAGTTCTATGTTGATTGAGTTCAATTCAATGTTGATTGAGTTCATTCAGTGTTGATTCAGATCAGTTCAATGTTGATTCAATTCAGTTCAATGTTGATTCAGATCAGTTCAATGTTGATTGAGTTCAATTCCGTGTTGATTCAATTCAATGTTGATTCAATTAAATTCAGTGTTGATTCAGTTCAGTTCAATGTTGATTCAATTCAGTTCGGTGTTCATTCAATTTAGTTCAATGTTGATTCAGTTCTATTCATTGTTGATTCAATTCAGGTCAGTGTTGATTCAGATCAGTTCAATGTTGATTGAGTTCAATTCAGTGTTAATTCACCTCAGTCCAGTGTTGATTAAGATCCGTTCAATGTTGATTGAGTTCAATTCCGTGTTGATTCAATTCAATGTTGATTCAATTAAATTCAGTGTTGATTCACCTCAGTTCAGTGTTGATTCAGATCCGTTCAATGTTGATTGTGTTCAATTCAGTGTTGATTCAATTCAGTTCAGTGTTGATTCAGTTCAATTCAATGTTGATTGAGTTCAATTCAGTGTTAATTCACCTCAGTTCAGTGTTGATTCAGATCCGTTCAATGTTGATTGTGTTCAATTCAGTGTTGATTCAATTCAGTTCAGTGTTGATTCAGTTCAATTCAATGTTGATTGAGTTCAATTCAGTGTTAATTCACCTCAGTTCAGTGTTGATTCAGATCCGTTCAATGTTGATTGTGTTCAATTCAGTGTTGATTCAATTCAGTTCAGTGTTGATTCAGTTCAATTCAATGTTGATTTAATTCAGTTCGGTGTTCATTCAATTTAGTTCAATGTTGATTCAGTTCTATTCATTGTTGATTCACCTCAGTTCAGTGTTGATTCAGATCCGTTCAATGTTGATTGTGTTCAATTCAGTGTTGATTCAATTCAGTTCAGTGTTGATTCAGTTCAATTCAATGTTGATTTAATTCAGTTCAGATTAATGAGAGTGTTGATGTTGGAAAATTCATCAACTATGTGACAAATGCTGATCCTGCTGTAAAGCAGCGTTAAAGACAACAGTCATTATTCAGATCAATTCAGTTCTGGTTCTGTTTTCATCTGATAGTGTCCGTGCAGTCAGATCAATAATATCTCTGAATGTTAATTGTGTTTTATCACTGTCAATCCCTCTGATTGGCTGAGAGCCTGTGATGGGCGTGTCTGGCTGTCTGTGATTGGCCAGTTTCTGGCGGTGGTGTTTGATGCCGCGCTGGCGCTCTGAGAGCCAGAGTGAACAGGAGTTTCCACACACTTGCGCTCTGACAGCTTTATTAATGCTGATGTTTTCCAGCTGGATCTGCTGCACACGGACTGATGGAGGAGAGGTGTGGATTCAGTTCAGT